AAAAGAACATTTCTAAAAATTGAAAGCAAGATGAAACAAATAAACCTAACACTGAATTGAGTGGGTAGCATTATGAGCTGTTTTGACTCAAAAGCATAGTAATTTGACTATATAGCTCTAGTAGAAATATTAAAAGAACTGCAGAAATACTTTTAAACTATTTTCAATATTGTGGTGTGAATGTTGGTATTGTTACTGAGAAATTGTGAGTATTATGGGACAAAGCAAGTGAATAACTCTGTTACTGTCATGAGAACTGGGAATTTTAGTATAGTTTAGTATATTGGTCAGTATATTGCTGACCAAAGACAGGGGAAAAATCTGAGCAATAATAGTAATAACTATCATGGATTTTAAACACATAAAATATGTTTAAATCCATGAGTTTATAATGACTCTCAAACACCTCATGGGGTCACCTCTGGAGGATGCTAGGAAAATAAGCTTATTAGGTTGCACTTGATGAAGGCAATTCTCCTGTTTTTTCTATGCACTTCGAGGTAACCAAGTAGTTAATGAAGGAGTGTTTATTTTTATGGAAGTATTCTAGCTAATAAACACAGGAAGGATGATAGAATTCAAATACTACCATTCTGTAACCTCCAATGAAATAATGAATCTAGGTAATGATCAATGCCTAGCAACACCACAAAAGACAACCAGCAATGAAGGGCCTACTGATTGAAATGTACCACGTACCACGGTCTATAAAGAAGTGTACTTGCTAAAAAAGTATTTGTACGTACATCTCAAACCTGAAGGACATCAAACCTCTAGACCTAACTACCAATCTATAGGAAATATAGGGTACAGAAAAGTATTTTAAGTGACAACAAAATCCAAATTGTGGGAAATTGTACAGAACAGACGACCCTGTTTTTCAACAAATAAACTGCAAAGGAAATAAAGAGACACAGAGAGAAAACATTAACAGGAACATATAAATTACAGACAATTCATGAACCTAATTTGAACAAACAGTAAATCAATAAAAACATCTGAATATGTTATGTACCTATATATACATATATGCACACACTGTGTATATGCGGGTTTATCTCTATATGTTTATGTGTACATATGTATGCACTTACATATTTTATTTATTAGAGAGAGAGAGACAGCGAGAGCGAGAGCGGAAGAGAGAGAGCATGAGCGGGGAAGGGAGGGAGGGGCAGAGGAAGAGGGAGAAGCAGACTCCCCGCTGAGCATGGGGCTCGATCCCAGGACCCCCAGGATCATGACCTGAGCCGAAGGCAGACAATCAACTGACTGAGCCACCCAGGCACCCCTATTTGTCCACAATTTGAGGTACGGTGAATGGAGGGATTGAGTGGCAGGGAGTTGAGATTAGTTTAAATTGGGCAAGGGGTACCCAGGCACTCACTGTAACTAATCTTACTTCTATATAAGACTAAAATTTTCCACAATAAAGTTAAAAAGTATATGCACAAAAATGACAAAAAACTATGTAGCTAATATTAACAAGGTGGTTATAGAACAGTATCAGACCAAGACATTCCAACTTAGGAGTCCACTGTGATCATCTGAAGAGCTTTTTTACAATATAATCTTGGAACTACCACTACATCACCGAACCTCGAAGACTGAAGGAACTGTGTCACATCCCTCAAAGACTGAGGACCACTGTTCAAACCCAGTAAAGGTGGGGGCTGCACATTATTCACCCACTTTTTATCTCCATGCCGGACACATTAGAGGTACTCAAAAAATATTTGGTGAATTAATGACTAACCCTGGGTAGTGAAAATGAATAGGCAAGCTTAGAGCAGCTAAATGCTAAATATGCAAAAAAATTCATATTTGATATTATAAAAATGCACTTAGGTTACTGAGTTTAGAGAGCATGGCTTTCTGTTTTAAGTGGAATGGGTTTTCATCATAAAGCCACAGACTAGTCACTTCAAACAGCTACAAGTAAACTCCCAGAATAAAAATATTTTTAAATACACAATTGGGTGGGGTGTGGCTAGCAAATATTCTGATTCTACAATCTGTTTTGGACAAGACAGTGCTTCTTATGTGACTAACAAAGCAAACAGCAGTCAGATTCCCTGTGCTGAAATAAGTATACTATTTGCAAAAAGGGTTGAATGTCCATGCCTTATCCAATAAAGACACCACATTTTCCAAAGTTAAAGGGGAATATAGGTCGACAAATACCCACATGTATTTACATATCCCCAAAAGAAGGCATATGACCAGCTGGTATGGACTTTGTTTCTAATAAGTACTAAACAGAGCCAAGCCCACTGTCTCACCATGGGGAACAGCAAAATACCTCAAACACAAGAACTCTAATTTTAAAGCTGGGAGGAGAGCTTTGAAACCTAGCCCAACCTTTTCACTGTGTAACAGACACCTAGAGAGTTTGAGGTGAGAAGCCCTGAAAATAGCTTGAGTAGCCATAGATGAACAGATGGTCTACACAGGTGCACAGTGTGAAGAGCTGAGAATTAATCTTCTGTACTTCCACATGAATGCTATCTAACAGGGTAACAGTCTCTATTATAAATAAATGTGTGTGTGTATATCCATATAGACATAAAAAAATACTAGAATATGTACTTGTAGTAATTCCTTTAAAACAAATTCAAAACAAAAAACCCCAAATTCTACGGCCTAGCCTTCAAGAGCAACCATGTGACCTCACCTACTTTTTCACAATCTTATCCAAATGAACCATAAGTAGATGGAAGGCAGCCATTTTTCTTACTCATCTTTTGAGGTATCTTTCAGACATAGTAGAGCACATGTAATAATTACAAAAGCTCTTCCACAGATATTCTCCAACTGATGAAAGAATGATGAGAATATAAATTTTCGAATTCTCCTGTTAATCTGAACTGATATAAAAGTCATTATTTCATATGTATCTATGAATATTATATAGAGACATATAGGACAGTGTAGATTTTTAAACATGGCAACCAATGAAAGGTTTAAATGGGAGAGTTTGGAGAAAGGCAGTCAGTGAAGTGAGCTATCCATTTACATTTCTATAAAGGCTCAGTCTAAAAAATACAGAAAATTATATGAAGGAAAGGAGAAAGGGACAAGAAAAAGAACAAACCTTTATTTCATCCACTGGTCAAACACTAAATTATTTCAATTATCAATCAGTCCTGAAACCATCCTACTTTAATTCTGCAGAGGTTTTAAAAATGTTGTCTCTATGCCTGTTATGGAATTTTCCTTCTCACCTACTTAACTTGTACAGTTGATTTCCCTTAGCTCCAAAACAATGATATTAAATAAGATACAAAATTTGGTCTCTCAAAGTCCTGTTTTTATTAGATTTTTTAGGATCCTGAAAATTGACTTTAAGAGTCCCCTAATATTATTAAAGAGAATTCTAAGTGTTGAAAATGACCATGATAATGTTTACTTTCATCTTTGGGGGAAAAATGTTTCTAATTGGGCCGAATCAAGATTCCTGAAGGAAACTGTAAGGTAAGCCACTGATATTTTTAAAAAGCTGAAAGCAAAGTTTGAGGAATTTTTGTCTTCTGAAATGAACACAACAATCTCATTAGACATGGTATGACATTATCATGTCTTAAGGCTTTTGCCATCTCTACTACAACTCTAAAGTAAAATCCAAAATTAAGCAATAAAACCTGAAGCTATTTACTGAACATATTGTTGTGTTATAAATAGAGTCCAAATCCTTCAGGGTAGTTATATTGCTAACTGTACTATCAAATTTATGGACGTCTTGCCTCTGTCTGAAAACTAAAATATTTAATATGTAAAAATTGAAGTAGATATTAACATATTTAAAATTTCTCTTATTAACTTACATTAAAATCCTAAGGACTTACATTAAATCCTAAGATATAAAACAACATACCTACATTTTAATTGTTTTTCTCAAGCTCATAAGTAAGTAAGAATCGGAGTAAGCCATCTGCATAAAAATTCAGGAACATTAATGGACACGTTGAGGGCCTTATGTCATAATTGAAGAATTTAGAGGATGGTTTAAATCCACACACACCCCTCCAAAAGACTTCCTCTCCTACTTTTATATACTACCAAATATTTTCAACCAAATAACACAAGAATGTGCTTTCAAAAATACAAAGGGCATATTATCATCCCATCATGAACCAACCTAAACATCTGAGTAATAACTTCTAAAATAAAAACTCAGAAAAGATGGTACATGGTTAAAACTATTAATATATATTTAAGACAAAGAGTTTATTTTTCAGTAAGAAAACAAGGAAAGAGAGCCCAACCTGATCTTGTATGCCTGCCCAATAGAACTTTCCACTATAATTAGTACTCTCCCCCTCTCGGGGGGAGGAGCTTAAACTCGGGGGAACCTCATGAAGTAAGGGAAAAACAGTATAAATACTTCAGGATAGTTCTGGAGAAGGTACCTTCTGCACTCCTCACCTGTACACAGGAGGGCTCAGAAAAGCTGCCAAGAAACCATCTCCAGAAACTTCTGGCATCCAGGTAAGTCTATGACCTGATGCTCTGCTGGACTTCCATGTTAGCTTGTTTGGAAATGAGCCTCAATAAATTAACTATTTGTTTTTTTCATTTAAAATAAGTGACTTTCCATTAAAGTGTACTCAGAAAGTTTAATCCTTGGTAGTCTCTATAAAAAGACAGTCCTAATAAAACCATATTTGTAAAAGTATGTCCTATTTAGTTTATTTTGAAATTACTGGATATTTCAACCTATGTTAAAGATCTTGAATTATTAATCTAATTACAGTTTCTATATTTCTACTTTAAAAATCACTTCGGTTTTACTTGATTACTCTAATGTGGTTTCCACTAACAACTTAAGTCATATATTCATATAACTAAAAATTTCTAATTCCGGTTTATGGAATATATTAAAAACAGATAGGATAAGGTAAAAAAGGTAGTTAACAAAAGAAAGAATTCATGTGTCCAACAACAGACAAATAAAACAGGTCAATAACAAGAAGTTATTCTTTTCTCTTTTTCAGAAGCCATCTGAGAACATGCTGCCACAAACAGCCCTTTTGCTGCTAATGTCCTGGAACCTGGTTCATGGAGGATTTTATGCTGAGCGATACCAAACACCTACAGGCATAAAAGGCCCCCCACCCAACCCCAAGACACACTTCTTCATTCCCTACGCCATAAAGAGTAAAGGTAAACTTTATATATTTTGCTGTATTAACCAACTGGTTGTTGCTTTCTACAATCTTAATGATCTCTTGAACAAAACGCTTTTAACTCTACTTGGTGTTTAATTATCTTCAAACTCCCGAATTTGTCCAAAATATTAAAACAAAATGATTGATGGAAAAAAGCAGGTCTATTCAAGAACATTAATATCCTTTATACAGTGAGTAGAGTAGAAAGATGTATCCGAAGAATATTAAGAACTCTTAGGTGTGGAAAGTTCTCCCCTCAAATGGCGCTTCTGCACAAAAAACTAACCATAATGTAGAAATATGAATCCAAAACAAAGTAATCAAGTTTAAAAATGTCTTAACGAGAAATAACTGCCAATTATACAAAGAGAGTAGCAGGTTTGGGTATCTAAATACTTAACCATCATTTACTTGTACAACCAATTCGGCTACCCCACCAATATATACAAAACTGAGTCTTAACTATCAAATGAAATCTAACGCTTTTCCACGAAATTTAATAGGCAAACAAGGCGGCAATTTTCTTAACTACTTAGACATTTTTGTAGGGGTTAGTAGTCAAGTACACAGACTTAACTGCCATGTACTAACTGTGGGGCCTCAAGTAAGCTACTTAACCTCTCTGTGCCTTAATTTCCTCATTCGGAAAAGCAGCAGCAGTGATCTCAAAGAGCTGTTAGGAAGTTTGAGTTACCCTCTGTAAAGTACTCGAGTATTAGCTGTATTACTGGTACTTCACCTCCTCACGCTGTGGTAGTACTGCGGGGGGGGGGGTAGCTTTAGATACGTTTTAGCTTTGTGCCTGAATCTCTTCCCCAGCTGTTCAGCTTTCTCAGATATTATGAAGAGAAGTGAGAAAATGCACGCACACTACTAACAGATACTCAAAGAAGGGCAATTATTAGGCTTCACATTCACTAATTCCATGGAATGACATCCAGCACGCACTGCCTGAAAAACATCTACTGAATTAAACTGCATCATCTGAACTGATTGTAGGATTCAAATTTCCTTTCCTTAGTATTTTTTCATTATAGTTACCTATTTTACCTTGCAAATAATGCTAAGGATATTTGCCATAAACTCTACAAATGATGCTTTTAGAGATGACCATTTTCAGCAAATTAAACTTACAGGATAGTCTTCTTAAAAAGAAAGATGAAATTTAAAACATTTCATGAAAGGAAGTTTAATGTTTAAAAATAAATGCACAGGTGCATCACAAAAACTCTTGAATGTCTCAAAATACAGATAAAATATGAGAAAGAGAAAAGTTATGAAAGGATAAAAGGCAAGGAAACCTGCTACTTCCCTTGAAGCAATGAATGGCAAGGTGAAATGCTAGGACATGTATCACTGGGTATATTCTCTATGATCACAAATTCAGACTTTTTATAGTTTACCATACAGCCTTGATTTTAAAATCAAATGCACCACTTAGGGAAGGTTAAAAATATTTCTATTTTCCCACCTTACGGTACTGCATCATCTTGGCTATTTCTGCAGAATAAATGAAAATATATATCTTACTGACAAATGAAAAACTTAGAAGCTGCATTTTAACTGCTAAATCCACTACAGCCTCTACTTGATAATACAAGGTGGAAACTCAAGTACATTATCATTCACTAGCAGGCACTAATGCACTAAAAGAAAGACAAAAGCCCACAGTCTATACACGTATAACATTAGGTTGATAACAGAAATACAAAGAGTGCCTATGTAATTCCTGGGCCCATCTGTCCAACACCGGCTCAAAGAGGGCTCAGCCAAAACACACCAAATTATGCCGCAAAGGAATGCAGAACTGGTGGCCCCATGGGTACCATATTCTGACATGACCAACCACTATTTTGGTTTCTGGACTTTCAGAAACTTTTCTGCTGGGCAATCATTTTTCCTTGCGGATTTTTTTTCCCTAATCTTTCAGTTTTTTTAATTGGCAAGCAACAAACAGGGGCTATCCCCCAAAGACATAACAGAACTCACATTCTTTCTTACATCAAGAGGTAGAGGACCTATGAGGGCAACATTCCAAGTGACTGAGATCACCCTTGTCCTTGGACTTCCAGTCTCAAATGGTGCTCTATGGAGTCATTTTCTTTTCTTTCTTAAAAGATTTCATTTATTTATTTTAGAGAGAGAAAGAAAGAGTGTAAGTGGCGGGGGGCGGAGGGGAGACGGAAAGAATCCCAAGCCAACTCCGAGCTGAGCGCAGAGCAGAGCTCGATCTAACAAGCCTGAGATCACGGCCTGATGTCAGTCGGATGCTTAACTGACTGGGCCACCCAGGTACCCCCACTATGTAGTCATTTTCAGTAAGACTCTTTTTCCTCCCTATTTTAACAGTTAAACAGATTTCCAACCAGACTAAGATAGTCATTTTTAGCATGGATATGATCTTTAGGAGATTCAGATAAGATTCTGAAGCAAACCCATTCAATCTAATATAGTTTGCATTTGAAAAAAAGTGCTATTTTCTATTTATTCATCTATTCTATTTGTAATATATTACACCCCTTTATATTTATAGACATTATAACGTATGTACACTAAAAAGTCAATCTATCAATGATATGAGTATATGGAGATCTTTTCCATAAATTAATTTTTCTCATAGTCTTCTTCCTGATATCATCTTCTGAAAATCCATGAGTGAATAAAGCTCCATACATTTAAATATTTGCAAAATGAAATATAACTCTAATTAGTACAAAATATAAATATCCAAGTCTAGAATAATGTTCCTATTTTAGCATACCTACTTTAATGATTCTACTGTGTATTTTGTATTTCATTTGTCACCAAATGTATTTCAAATATCAGGAATACCCAAGAGAATAATATTAGCAACTACTTCTTGCATGCCAGTTAATAGGAAAGATTTTTTAAAATATCATAATTGTACCAGCAATTGATAGTTAATGTGAACCATACCCATAAGCATATGTTTTCAAAGGCAATTTACAATTCATTTAATATTAATTCCAATTTACTCTTCATTCTGATTTCTAAAGCCATTAAAGATTTAAGTAAAGTTTAAATATATTAATTAGTCAATTTTGTACAAAAAAAGATGTGGCTCAAAAGTCACAGCCATAAGTCATTCTCAGGGTTTTGACCAAACCATTCAGTAACTATGCCATTTGCTAAATCTACCATAACTACAAACCATTTTCCAGCAGTAAAAGAATCTAAATAGTATACGCAGGCATTCCAGCTATCTTCCTAAAGATTAATTAAACACAAAATGATTTTAATACAAATTTTGCAAATAGACATTTAAATCATACCTAATTATTACCATTTTTGCTAGCTATTGAAGAATTTCTCTGAGAAAGAAAAGAATCTTTCATTTTTTAAAGATTTTATTTTTTTATTTATTTGACAGAGAAAGACAGCAAGAGAGGGAACACAAGCAGGGGGCGTGGGAGAGGGAGAAGCAGGCCTCCCGTGGAGCAGGGAGCCCGATGTGGGGCTCGATCCCAGGACCCTGGGGATCATGACCTGAGTCGAAGGCAGACGCTTAATGATTGAGCCACCCAGGGGCCCTGGAAAGAGTGTTTTATAATAGATGCTTATGATGATTGCTGCCTAAAGATTCTCTGATATGGTAATATTTCCCCAGTTATATATCCTAATACCAGAATGCTCTGTTAAATCCCACCTTTGTATGACTAAAACCAAAACCCTGGACACCTCTTATCACAGGGACATTCGTTTTTCTCCCTTCATGACTGAAGCTCTTATAAGATGCATCCTGTGCTTCCCCATACTTGTGGCCCAAGAGCCCTTTTCATGTCACGGGCAGTGAATAAACAATTTCTGAACTGAATTCATAATATCAGTAGAAGTATTTGGTTCAAATGGACCCACAGCTCTGTGAAATCAACACTAACTGTGTGCATTAATCAAAGAAAACTTTAGATAAACATTTTAATACTATTTTATATACCCTGCCCACTGGATCTCATTCTCTAATTCTCTGTTTCAATGTTAAGTCAATGAAAGGAGGGTATAGGAGCTCATGGTATGTACTGAGGGTGAAAAAAATACATCTAAACTGTGTTCAGCAGGCTATGACAGATTTTCTCACTGATGTCTGATAGGATAGCTTTTGTGAGAGAAAGCAGTTATAGTTCTTAAGTATTTTCCCGTTTATTCTGCATTTGTCTTTTTCTTCCTTTCTATCAAATACGTTTTTCCCCCCTTCCTCTTGAGGTAGATGATATTCCCAAAAGAAATGGGGTAAATACCTCCACCGTACTCTTACTCTAGACAAATTCTTCAACCCCAGTTTATTTTCATAGATAATTAGGATGTACTGAAAGTATTATGGTAGCCATGGTCCGTCCTCTCTGGCAGTGTTTTTAAATACAGTATAAAATGTATTGTCCGAAACCATTAAAGACTAGTCTGCCAAAGCGGACTGACTGACAGTGCAATATCGTTACTAATCATCTCTCTCTCTGGGTGTGTGTATCGGGTATGTTTTTTAGGTCTGTCAGTAACAGGAGAGCAAGGTATTCCTGGTCCACCAGGCCCCGCTGGACCTCGAGGGCACCCAGGTCCATCTGGACCTCCAGGAAAACCAGGCCGTGGAAGTCCCGGACCCCAAGGAGAGCCAGGGTTGCCTGGACCACCGGGACCATCGGCCACTGGGAAGCCGGGTCCGCCAGGACTCCCAGGAAAACCAGGGGAGAAAGGGCCATCTGGACCAAAAGGAGCTATCGGGCCAGCTGGTTTACCAGGACCCCGGGGCCCACCAGGGCCACCCGGAATCCCCGGCCCAGCCGGAATTACTGTTACGGGAAAGCCCGGACAACAAGGGCCTACAGGAGCTCCAGGACCCAGGGGCTTTCCTGGAGAGAAGGGTGCACCGGGAGTCCCTGGTGTGCATGGACAGAAAGGCGAAGCAGGGTATGGTGCTCCTGGACGCCCGGGTGAGAGGGGGCTTCCTGGCCCTCAGGGTCCCACGGGACCACCTGGCCCGCCTGGAGTGGGAAGAAGAGGTGAAAATGGGTTTCCGGGACAGCCAGGCATCAAAGGCGATCGGGGCTTTCCAGGAGAGAGGGGACCAGCTGGCCTGCCAGGCCCCCAAGGTCCTCCTGGGGAACGAGGACCGGAAGGCCCTGGAAAGCCAGGGGCCACGGGAGCCCCAGGCCAGCCAGGGACTCCTGGGACCAAAGGTCACCCCGGGGCTCCAGGAAGAGCTGGGCCCCCAGGCGCTCCCGGCTTTGGGGAGGCGGGGCTGCCTGGCCTGAGAGGGCAAAGAGGGCCTGCTGGCCTTCCGGGAAGTCCAGGTGCTAAAGGGGAGCAAGGCCCAGCAGGTCATCCCGGGGAACCAGGTCTGACTGGATCCCCCGGAACTATGGGGCCCCAAGGACCAAAGGGCGTGGCAGGCAGCCCAGGGGTTCCAGGCCCCAAAGGTGAGACAGGGCCAGTGGGGCCTGCAGGACACTCTGGGGCCAAGGGAGAAAGGGGTTTGCCCGGGCTGGAGGGAAAACCAGGGTACCCAGGAGAACCAGGCAGCAGTGGTCCTAAGGGAGACCCAGGGTCACCAGGCCCCAAAGGGGACGCCGGAGCTCGAGGACCTCCTGGTCTCCCAGGCCCCATGGGCCCAGCGGGAGCAAAGGGAACGCCTGCACACAGGGGTGAGACCGGTCCCAGAGGTGCCCCCGGAACGCCAGGAACCAGAGGCCCCACTGGGCCGCCGGGCGCTCCGGGATTCCCGGGAGCTAGGGGCGACCCAGGAACCCCAGGTCCTCCTGGCCCAGCGGGCGCAGCAATGAAGGGGCCCAACGGTCCCACGGGGCCACCAGGGCCTCCGGGTCCAAGAGGCCACACTGGAGAGCCCGGCCCCCCTGGGCCCCCAGGCCCCCCAGGCCAAGCAGTCCTGTCTGAGGGCTTTATAAAGGCAGGCCAGAGGCCTTTTGTTAGTGCCAACCAGGGAGTCACAGGAATGCCTATGTCTGCTTTCACTGTGATTCTCTCCAAAGCTTACCCAGCTGTAGGCATTCCCATCCCATTTGATAAGATTTTGTATAACAGGCAACAGCACTATGACCCAAGAACTGGAATCTTTACCTGCAGGATACCAGGAACGTACTATTTCTCCTACCACGTGCATGTGAAAGGGACCCATGTTTGGGTGGGCCTGTATAAGAACGGCACCCCTGTAATGTACACCTATGATGAATACACCAAAGGCTACCTGGATCAGGCTTCGGGCAGCGCCATACTCGATCTCACGGAGAACGACCAGCTGTGGCTCCAGCTGCCCAACGCTGGATCGAATGGGCTGTACTCCTCTGAGTACGTCCACTCCTCTTTCTCAGGGTTCTTGGTGGCACCAGTGTGAGCATATTCCCAACGAGCTAACGTAAGGCTGCTTGAAAAGGCATTCCCCAACTCCACCGCGCCCCACAAAGTGCATATGGAGGTAGGCCAAAAAAACGTGACTAATTTTAATTTTCCAAATACGGATTTGAGCTTTCAGACCAACCAGTTCTCCGCCCCCCTGAAAAAGTGAGCAGCAATGGTAAACAACAGGTGAAGACTCTCTTCAGTTTCTAGTCAGCAGTTCTAAGGCTCTTTAAAGTTTTCTGTGAACTCCTTCAGTATTTAAAAATTTCACCCTGAAAGTCCTAGTAGGCTAAAAAAATAGAATGATCACAAAGAAACCCTGAAATGTGACATTAAATTACATTAAATTTGCTTTCAGAAATTCAGCATTTAAAAAAAAAATAAGCCTCTTTCTACTGATTAACAGGAGAACTTCTGGGAAACATTCAGAGGGTATCATGTCTTTCTAGAACTCAAATACTTGAATATTCAAATTTAAAAGGCACCGTATACCCTAAGATCTTTCTCATGGTGCATTACTCGAAGGCTTACATGGCCCCTTCGTCAAGATCTATTCAAATGTACAGGTGCATGTAAACTTCTTACAGCTCTAATAAAAAACCAAAGCATGATGTTAAAATCTGAAATGCAAGGTGCTTTAGCCATGAACCTTTTCAAACCTTTCTGTGATTGCAGAAAAGCTTTCTATATACCCTTCACAACTGGGAGATGGATGTCTAACCTAGTTTATTTACTTAATACAAGTGTAATTAATTTGACTTAATTCCATATTGAGTCTTACAGATTATGATTTTGTGGGTTTACAGATTATTGCCATATGGACCTTGAGCCTCCCACTCTAGTGAAATTATAGCTAATGTCAAGGGTTTCAAAATCTGGCTAGAAATGAAAAGATGTTATTTATTTATGCTCTGTACTGTATTTTTATATTGCTGCTTAAAACTTTTAGGCTGTGCCTCACTTATTAAAGCATGACATGTTTTACCTACTCCTTATTTACAAAGCAATAAAATAACATCAACAGATTTTTATGCTGAATTTATATGAGAGCAGCAATTGCTATTCTCAACCATTCTTTTAAGGGTTTTCACTTTACAAAGTTTATAAAAGAAAAACAATAAAGTGTGGGTGGCTCTTACAGTTGTCATGGATCCTGCCCTCTACTGGGGATGGTCATTCACACACGCCCCCCAGCACTCCGTGTGGACTATGAAAAGGCAACCACAGGACCACATGGGACCTATCAGCGAGGGTTAAGGGCCAGGGACCAGGCACAGAAAAGTGAGACAATCTCCCCAAAGCAGTGATTTCTTCAGGGAAGGCAATAAGCAGGTGGCAGAGAAATATGTAATTTTTTAAAAAGTATTCTGCAGGTACTATTTATTGCCTTGACATGTTTTTAGTTACAATATTCAGGAGTATTTTGATGACTTAAATTACGTTAAAAGGAAGGCAGGCAATTTTATGTCAATCAAAAAGCAACCCTTTTCTAAGCTGAGAAACACTGCTCTTGAGCATCTATCAGTCCACCAGGTGACTCAGGACAGTGTGGTTCGAGTCCCCGAGGTAACCTATGATAAAGCATCCCTGTATTCCTTAGAAGTAACCTCCGAGTAACCTTACCAAGCAAATCTGAGATGCAGCTGTGAGGCCCCACGGGCAACCTGACCCATTCTGAGTCAACCAGTCCTGTTTTTAAGCAAGAAGAATGGAATTCAAAAGAACCTCTTAAAATAGAGGCAGTACCAACTTTGTAGCAAAATTTTAGATAAAATCAAGTCCTAATTGAGGAACATTAACAAGATAGGTAACTTCAAAGTAATTTACAAGCTGCAGAGCATTTAAAAACATCAATTAGAAGGTCTCCCTTCACATTACTCACCCTTAAAAGCTGACATTTTATAATTGTGTTGTATACCAGCAACTATATCCTTCCAAAAATCAAATGAAAAAAAAAAATTGTTCTGCTAAAAAAAAAAAGAAAAAAAAAACCCAAATGTTAACCCATGTAATAATGATGTTTTTAAGCACAGTAAAAAAAAAGCAAGCAATACAATATTGCCGTAATCTAAAATCAGGACTCATATTTAGAAAAGATAACCGATGAAAAAACTCATTGTCTAAATGGGACTTTAAGAAGAAAAATCTTCCAAGAAAATCACTGCTACGGATACATATATACACACATACAACTAAATATTAATATAGCTCATGTAGCCCAAATAAAATAGAAATTTCTACTTAGTGTGAAGTCTAAAAATTATATATTTTAAACACAGGAGTAAATTTACAGTGTTATAGCTTTTGAGATATCAGAATGTGCCACTTCATGTACTGTGGCATCAATGGGATTAGGAAGCCTCAAGTCCTAAAGTCCTAAAAGCCGGTTACTTTAGAATTCAGCGCACATTTACCTGATTTCAATAAAAAAGAGCAGCAAATCTCTACAGGAGAGATGAAGGAGGTTCCAAATCCAAAACATAAACCACTTTTAGATTTTTTAAAACCAGGATGCAAATAAACATTACATTGAAACACAGAAGGCTGCAAGGCCTTGCTTTCTTGGAAACATTATTAACCAGTGTCCTTCTATCTAAACAAAGACAAACTACTAGACATTTGTATCTAATTAAACTCTGAAATATCTGAAGACTAATACATTTGCTTGAAGTCACTATGGATGAAAAACTGATTCCATCTCATGTAAGTAACGTCTACATAATAAAGTAATTGCTCAATGGAAACTCGCAAACACATGACTAATTCTGGCTCAAAAGTAAACCACTATCCATGTTCTATTAATAACATGATCGTTATGATTTTCAAAGACAACATATGCAAAACAGAAAAGTAATTCTGACATAAAACTGGTGTCTGTTCACAGATCGTAAGCCCTAAGTATATTAAATCTTCATCAACAGTATAAATCTACACGCATCAAACTGCTCAAAAGGATGAATTTAAAAACTTCACCTCATTTTTTTGATTTTGTATTATTTAGTGCTTAACGACAGGTGGAATTTTCTTAATTATCTTTAATTTTTTTTTTAAATTCTGCTAATGAAACCAAAATATTTTTTCCAGCTGTGAAGTGTTTTCTTTTTAGACATTTGCACCCCCTGCTGGAGAACAGATTTATTATCCCTGGGGGGAAAAATGGTCAGGGCTATTTAATTTTCCCAAAATATTTGACCAAATTCTCTATGTTTTTCTTCCTCAGTCACTTCCAAAACCACAAAGAGGAAACTGAGTAAAACTCAACTCAAAAGACATATATAATTAAGTCCTCCGATTTATGACTGAATACCTACCATAATTTCTGAAAAATGAGTCCCTGGCTCACCTTTGTTAGAGAGTCCACCACTCTGGCACATAGAAGCGCTCCTGGCAGGTCAAAGTAGTTATCATAAAAATAATATTTTCCTAAAAAAGAATAAAATTTTACATTGGGAACAAATTAACACCTCATTTACATGACACACAGAAACTTGGCTGATGAGACACCAGACTTTGGGTTTGGTTACTTAGAGGGGCCTCTATTTCAACTCAGAATGGCTCTATTACATGCGTTCACTGTCTTTAAAGAAGGGTTAAGCTACAAGAAAGTTAAAAAATGATATCCCTAATTTAAGGATCTTATGGAAAAAAAATTTATGTAAAAACTAGACTATACCCTAAATATAAAATGGATTATGAAAAAGCCACAATTTATGGTACCAATGTCACTGAATTTTAAGACCATCAGCCTAACACTGGAGCACCATGAGGTAATCTGCACAATAGTACCTTTTCATATCTGTGTTGGTTGGTCCACCTTCAGTTTAACGTGAGAAGAACCAGAGCAATGGAGGGATAATAATAATAAAAAAATCACATCATGTATGGACATAGTGTACTTATCTGGGAAAAAGTCAGGAGCACAGCACAGGCACTCCAGGATCTCAGGGAGGAGAGGGATTGAATTTATCCTGTTTGGCCCTAGGACACAATTAAACCTGAGCCCTTCCTTGGTGCAGATGTCACTTTCGGAATCTGCCGTCCCTGGGCAGCCACTTGATGACCCATGACCCTTTGGCTGTCTGATCCCAGCCACTGCTGTGCTAAAAGGCATCATCCCACCTGAAGCACACCTGTGTCATTCACTTTCCCCAGAAGCCTGTGGAGTCCACGTGGCTTATGTGGTAAGCCTCAACCAGGAGCCAGTGGGTGAGTCTCCAGTTTAGGGGCCAGTGAAGGCTCCTGTCCCTTGGATTGACAACTCTGGGAGGTATTCTCAGTGCTGCTCAGAGATCCCAGTGGAATCCAGCCCCCACTCTTCCTTCCTTCTATGGCTCACTGTCTCCACTATCTCACTTCTGTATACCAGGATCAGGACCAACCACTCTGCTTTGGGGGGATCCCAAAGTCATAGAATCCCTAGAGAACCCTTGCACAAAGAGGAATCAAACAGAACCAAAGGTGAAGCCAGATTGTAGTTTAATGTGAGAAAGTACTTTTCGAATGGTCATAACTATTGCACACAGTATTATAGGTGCCTGATTTCAAGTCCTCCCTTCTTCCCATTTGCAAGCTAGGTATGAAGCTATGGAACACAGCAGTCTTGTTCCTTCGTGTTCACTAAGCACAATACCCAGCATATTGCAGGCACTCAACAAATGTTTGTTGAATGAATGAATGATCTAACAATGGAATGGATTTTTGGAATGAGGGAGTGCCGCAGGTAAATTAGGAGAAAACCCTTTGCAGGGGCCAGGTATCTATCCCTTTAAATGTCATTTAATGCCCGTCACTTCTTCATATCAAATTACTAAGAACATATAAGAAATAAAGTCAAAAGTTCTCCTTCTGTTAATTCACAAAATGGCTGTGTGGGTTTACGTATCCTTTCCCTCAGTTAAAAATAGTTTGGTTGGCATCATCTTCCTGGTTTTTACTCTTACAGCTGAAATTATTGGCAGAACATCTTAGATTACTTTTCACCCCTCAGAAAGGTCAGGATAGCTTTGTCAGTGTGAGGAACCAGGCATCTGGAGGAAAAGGGAGGTTAACATCCCACGTGCACTTTTGCTCACACTCTGCTGTGCTATAAGGCCACGCGATGCTCCCAGGCTCCCAAGACTAGGGCAGTGGGCACAGCTTCCCAAGGTCCACGAACCTGCACTTGATCTACTCGCCTGTGACACCAGAGTGGCCAGCCGCTCTGGGCACCGTGGCAGCAGATCTGTAGTTGCTGCTGGTTACGCCCCCTTGCTTTTCCCTTCCCCTATCGCTCCCTTTATGGCCATTAACACAAAATTCAGTTAAAGAGTTGGAATACTGATCACGAGTCTTGGGTGGGATCTAATCAAACAGCTCAGGGGTTTAATGAGACTCCCTCCCACAAGCCAAGGGGCTGACTCACTGTACTGTCAAATGTGGGCTGGATGACCGCTGTGTGGACACACCGAGGTTTGCTCAGTCCTGACCTATGAACTGGGCCAGGCTGCTCTCAATGCCCCTTCCTCCACCAAAACTCCAAGACTGTACCCCATGAGAGCTCTGACTCTCGCCCCTCCTTGGAAGCAGAGAGCTTACTGGCAATGAAGGGATTAGTGAGTTCCGTTCAATAAAACAAGCCTCTAAGTCCAGACAAGTCCTATAATCCTTAACCTCTGCCCATTGAGAAACCGTTCCCCAAGAAGCCATTGCCAACGCTACGTACTTTGTAAACTGCCTACTCGTACTGGTAACAGAACAGAGGCATGTGAGTGACTGAGGGCAAAAGAACAATTTATGTTAGCACAGTGTTCTCAGTTGCGCAGATGAGTGATACCACCTTCACTTAAAGGTGAGCAAAGTGATGCTAAGAGTGGCTTAGTAATTGACCAGATCACTTTGCCCAGCGAGGAACAGTCAATATGAGCCAGGACCACCTGTCTCCACCTGCCCCGTGGTTTCCACTATACTAAGCTGTTTCTGCATAATCTACCAGTTTATGCGGAAAAAGATCAAAAGGACTTGCTCTCTGGAAAATGGCTGGTAATGAAAACCATACTCCTGCCAGTGCAACAACTGGCAAAGGGATTATCAAATAAACTGTCAGTAAAATGTCTCTGTCCATCAATGCTTTAAATTCCCTAAATGTACTGGTAGGGAATGCACTTTATAATTAACGCTCTCCTTAAATAAAGGCCCTTATTTGGCCATACTGATGAAAATTTTACTTTATTTTTTGGTGGGCAGCAAAGCAAAGTTTATTGAATCATAGTAAAGCAAAGTTCATTGAGTGATAGTATAAAGCTCCCAAAGATGGAGGGGACCCGAGAAGGTTGCCCTAAAATTTTTAAACCTATATATCCTTAGAGCGCTTCTAGGAATTTACAAAAGTGCAAAATATACACGTATGAAAACATTACTGCAGGCTTGTTTGTAATGGTCAAACCCCAGACACAATGTAAACGTGTACTAGGAACAGACTGATGGACGGCACTGGATGGCAGGGCACACCAGCCTTTAAGAGAACGAGGTACATCCGCAGGTGTGCTAATGTGACAGGATCTCAAAGATGTCAATTAAAAAGCGCACAGTGCAGGAAATGTATGATCCCTTTCGTGTACTTTTGAGAAATAAGCTTCAAGGAAAGGGGATTCTGGGGGGGCAACAGGAGTTGGGAGATAATTAACTCTTCATTTTATTCTTTTCTATAATATTTAAATTTTCTGACCCTATGCTCCCATTTTTTTTTAATTTTTTTTTTTTTAAAGATTTTATTTATTTATTCATGAAAGACAGAGAGAGAGAGAGAGAGAGAGAAGCAGAGGGAGAAGCAGGCTCCCAAGGAGCAAGGAGCCCGATGCGGGACTCGATCCCAGGACCCTGGAATCATGACCTGAGCTGAAGGCAGACGCTTAACCATCTGAGCCACCCAGGCGCCCTCACATTATTTTTTTTAACGTAAACAAAGTTTGACTGGGTTGTGGAATCGCAGGCCACTTTTTTCTTCTTTTATATGTCTCTACATTAAAAAAATAGTATTCCTTTTTGAAGGCATCAAGCTTTCCCTTATGATTTGGCAGAAACAATAGTAGGCCTTTGTTATGTGTCACCACCACCTGACCACTGAGCACATAAATGGGAAACACTTCCCTAACCAACCCAATTAAGAGGAGATAAATTCCAAGCTCATCCTCAGAGCGCTCCTGGGTAAACTGAGCACCAGAGGGAAGCTGCTGATTCCGGAAGGTGGCGCTCTCTAGTGGGCAGAGCAGTGAGCAAACTGTGGGTCATCCTGGGTGAATGTTCTTTTCCTGGCTGAGAAATACTTTACTTCTTTAAAGTACTGTTTCTGAATGGATGTCAGAGTGAAACACTTAGCTCCGTGCCTGGCCTTTCTGGGAAAGTTATCTACAACTGCCTGCTCCTGGAGAGCAAATAGCTGTTCTCCGTTTTTAGCTGAGTCAAAGGCTACATAGACGCCCATTTAACTTCCACCAGCCACTGGGACTTGAGATGTGTGAAAGCATTCCATCTCGATCCCCAATTTGAAATCTGTTTTCCTCTCAACTTATTTTACCACGAGCACTCATTTCCTGACATTTTCATCTCAGGACAAAAACAAAACAAACTCTCAAAAGACAGTGAATGTACCAAAGCAAATCTAATTGTAACAAGGAATAACTCCAACTATTTTCAGGTTACTACATTTTCTTTTCTTTTTTTAGGATTTTAAGTAAATTTTACCCTCAACGTGGGGCTTGAACTCACAACCCCAAGATCAAGAGTCGCACGCACCACTGACCGAGCCAGCCAGGTGCCCCTCAGTTTACTACATTTTCTGAAGGAGAACAGTGCATTTCAAAAGTGAAGTGTGGGAGAAGACGGCACAAAAATTTAGAACAAATGAAAAACTAACAATTATAATAAGATCTATTTGTTTATAACAATGTCTTAATCATTCCTTATTAATATATGCACATCAATGTCTACAAATCATTTCTGAGAAAACTTTTCAGGTTTACACATGGTGAATTTCTTTAAAGACCGTGGGGGAAAATGTGTGAAATTATTTAAAATAAGAGAAAAGAAAAGATAAGGGCAGAAGATAGAAGATACTAGAGCTGGCAGTAAAGAAGAGAATTCAAGAAAACAAGAAAGGGGGGTAGTATGAATGTGAGGAGAAATGGGTAATGGAGAAATCAAAGCAAGGACTGAGCATGTAATAGACTGATAAAAAAATACTGAGGAATGTATTATTCCTAGGTGCTAGTCTTTGCACTCTAGAACAAGTGGAAGTAAAAGGAGAATCAACAAAACCTAAAATAAAGCAGGATCAACTGCCAAAGAGACATGAGACACTTGTGGAAAACACATCCTGTTCCTATCAAACCACAGCTGCTCCCTTGTGCATCCGGGCCAAGAGGAGGCAGGATGGCATGCTTCCTGTCCTCACGCTGCAGGTCCGAAGTCCAAAACCCAAGGGGTGGCCATGGTGGCGCTGCCCCGCATGAGCCATACCTGATCGGCAAGCCATTCCCGCGTCAGACATGAAGTGCTTCCACTCCTTCCTGCCATACTCCTCCACCAGTGCCTCGGGAGCCATCATCTTTGTGCCGTGGCTTGCCCTGGTTTGGGGAGACAGGGTACAATGCTCATCAGCGCCTCCTCTGAATACCCCTTCTTCTGGCCTTGCTATGCGTGGTCCCCCCTAAAATGAACCCAGTTTTCTTTTTTCCATTTTCAACTGGATGATTTCCCCCTTTAGGGCTCTCTAAGGCATGTCCCTAAGTTCTTTGTCCATTTCATCCACCAACCGACAAGTAAGTGATCAGGAGCAACTCACTCTGAGGTCCACCCCATGCTAGCTGCTCTGGACCTATAAAAAAAAAACTATTTCTCTGGAAAAAAATTCTTTCCTGAGAAGTTGTCGTTTGAAGATAAAGGTAATCTAACTGGAATGTGCATAGACTGGGTGGCAGCCACAGAGAGAACAGAGGGGAAAAGGAGGGGGGAAAGCAATGGGGTGAGAACAAATGGAAAAATCAAAATGGGCTCCTTTCTATAAAGGGGACAATGCAAAGAAACATAGGCACAGGATCTGTCATCTGATTAATAAAAATAATAATCTTACTTAACCCAGACCTTAACAATCAAATGCTATATAAAGTGTCCTGGAAAAAAAGTTTTGACTTCACAACTAAATTTTATTACCTGAGCACAGTGCCATTATCTGCAAGTTTAATGAAGTTCCCATCTTCTAGATCCAATGCCAAGCCCTTGCAACTAAAATAGAAAAGTCTGATTACCAATCAATTCACAGAATTAGCTAACCTAAGAATAATAATCTATATTTTCAAAAAGTCACAATGCTAAAAAGGGATTCTCCCACCAAAAAAAATGATATGTTAGTCAAAAAAATAAGACTATCCAAGAATCCTAAAATTAAGTAGCATCCACAGAACAAGTATGTAAGGAAAATCGTCACATGGGAAACTGAAAGACAGCATATTTAGGTTGTAAAATCCTTATGCTTTTAAAAAAAGAAATCTAAAACTTAAAGAGAACAAAAAAAAGGAACATCATTGTACATCTCTGTTAAAATGTGCAAATGTTTTCCATTAAATAAAATACACACACGCATGCCCACATTTATATTCTGCCAGATAAGCTTGTAGCCAGGTTCTCTCCTATACCATTCAGAAACTGCCTCCATTTAGGTCAGGTTATAAAAACTTGCCCTCTGGGCAGGGCATATTACTGAAAACCACTAAAAAACAGTCAAATACTAAGTTTTAGGTTCCTCGCTGTAAAAGATGTGGGATTTGGGGAGAAAAGTGGGTACAGATTCATTATCATGAATAATAAAAGCAAGGAGGTATAATGGCCACCAAATACCAAGGGAATTAAACAAAAAATGACAGGGTACTTTAGAAGCATTATTGACTCTGGTTCACAGTAAAATTTCTAGAGTCAGCAGTTTTATATAGCAAAATATTTCTGTTTCTTCTTTTTACAAAAGGGATACATCAAAAAGGACTAACCAAACATTGCAGAAATATATAACAGATGAACATCATTGCTCTAGAATTAATTCTGCATGTGTTTCTGTGTGTTGTAGGATTATTATTAATTTTCCACTGAGCAATGTTAAAGTACAAGATTTTAATTTTGTTGTTTAGATGAGGAAGAGGGACAAAATAAGCCTTGGGAAGTGGAAAAACCTAACCCAGGAAAGGAGTAAGCAGTAAGAGTCTTAGACATAGGAATGTCTACTCAAATTATAGAAAACCAAATGTCCCAGTTCAGACATTTATTCAAAACATGATGATTCTTCCGCTTCTATGGTTCTGTATTTGAAAGGCAATAAAACAAGTTTTTTTTACAAAAGATGTAAATTTTAGAGACAGTTCTTAATAACCTTCGAAACTTATGACAAACTTCAGCCATACACAAATATCCAAATTAGTCAATAAGTTTTAGCTTATTTATATATTTAAACAAGTCTAAATTTAAAGTAGAAAAGGCTTTAATTTACGAAACATAAAACTTTTAATATAGAAAACATTTTGTCCTTTGACTCAGTTTCACATTTCACTTTATGTCTCCATAGAAGAGGAAGCATTAAAATTTTATCAGCAACATTTAAAAATCAGAGGGAATGGGAAGACCTTAAAAAAAAAGAACTTACCAGAAATCCCAATCCTCTGGAGTCACAGTTAGCAATTCCTTGTCATACCCTTTCTCCTTGACCAGGAACTGAGCAAAGCTATTATAAATGAGCTATAAACAAGAAGGAATAAAGAAAGATTAAATATAAAATTCACTATTCATTCCTAATTTCAGAGCTGAAAACCTACTGGAGTTACTCATGGGGCAGATGGGAGAGAAAGATCTCTAATTGTGAAGTTCTGCAGTTTAATCCTTTATTATTTTTTTTTAAGATTTTATTTATTTATTTGACAGAGAGAGAGACACAGTGAAAGAGGGAACACAAGCAGGGGGGAGTGGGAGAGGGAGAAGCAGGCTTCCCGTGGAGCAGGGAGCCTGATGCGCAGCTAGATCTCAGAACCCCGGGATCATGACCTGAGCCAAAGGCAGACGCTTAACGACTGAGCCACCCAGGCGCCCCAATCCCCCTTTAAGGCAAGCGATTTATCCACCCGAGAGCCCCAGGTAGCTGTGTCTTTTTATACTGCAGAATTAGACCACCAGTATACAATTACACAACCAAGGATGACTATCAATCTTACTCCTGAATTCTAAGGGTTGGAGATCATTAAGACCTGACAAAGCTTTGTAAACTTACTTAACACATCACCACGATGATAAACATATCGACCACTTTATCATTACATCTATCCTCAGCCCATCCTTAGTGGACCGTGCTTGTGAGGCACTGTTCCTCCCCAATTCATAGATTATTTTCCCCTGAATAAAGGACATCAAACCTGTCACTAAGTTGTTTTAGTTTTGTCATTGACAGAGGGTAGTCTCAAAGGGAAATACACATGGGGACCATGCAGATGACCTGAAGGAGGAATCAAGGAGCTTCCATTAGATACAGGAAATATCTTATTTCTCTGCCATAAGAAAAACTGAGGGAAAAGGACGAAGGAAGCTTCTGGAAATAAGTGCAAAGATAAATGGATCTTCTGATTTCTCAATGACAAAATCCCAAGTGTTTGAGTGATGTGTCTGATTTTTTCTAAAGAGCTGGCTCAAATTTTTAGAGGACTGTGTATCCCAAGCAAAAAGGAGGCAAAAGGTGGATAAAGGTCCACACTCTCCCTACCCCATTCTCCTTCAAAGAGTGTTATTAAGCCAGCATCAGAGGCACTTGAATCTGAGGCAGAATGCTGCTCCGGGGTCAGACTGAGCAGTATCCAAGATCCTTGAGCAACTTGACCCTTCTTCTCTATGTTAACCCATAACCTCTTTGACAGCATGAGGTGGCACAAGGGAGAAGAAGAAAGAGACATAGCGAAAGGGATGGAAGAAGGCCTCCCTGAGATGATGATGTTTACACTGACCCCTGCAAGCTGTGGCAGTTAGCTGGGTGAATCCAGAGGGAGGGGAGCACGCCAAGCCCAGAAACCCAGAGGCCCACAGATGCCTGGATTTGGGGGTTGGGTGTAAGTGTCAGGAGATGAGTGCAGAGAAACCAAAAGCTCCCTGTCAAATAGAGCTGTTCTCTGTCCTAAAGCTAATTAAAATCACTATACATATACTCCCGTGAAATGCAGTGTGACGCTGAACCAGGTCAATTGTTAATAGCTCACACTATGTCAACACTCTATGTCAACACTTCTCAACCCTGGCGGTGGTTCAGAAACATGGTGACGGCTCTTAAAACCACCTGAAAATTTCAGGCCTACAGGCTAGGGTAGGGTCCAGGTGAGGCCATACAGGATTCCTGAAGCCCAGAGATGACTGAAAATCATTGGCTTTCCATGTTCTATGAAAAAAAAAAAAATCAAAAAAAAAAAAAAATCAATAAAAAATGTACTGAGTCACTCCGAGGTCCAGAATACTATGGGCAATAAAAAATACACATCATGATCCTGCCTTGCAGGGAACCAGTGCTGTGGGATTAACAAATGTAAAATGCTTTAGAGCAGTGCCTGACATAGAAGTAAATTCAATTTAAGTATTTGCTGTTTATTATCAGTGTTATGCTGGTTAAAAAAAAAAAAAAAAAAGGCCCTGATAAGTACCATGTGCCCATTTCCACGGTATAAATATTCCCACCATGGCCACTTTCAAGCTACCAATGGTCACTGCACACCATTAAACTCGCCTCTGGTCAAAGCACTTTATTCAGTCTTGGACTTTCTCACCCCTTAACAATCCTGATAAAGATATGGGCACGTGATTCCAATGAGGTTGGATACCTTCCTGAGAGAAAGGAGCCCTTTACAGCAGGGCTGCCAACGGGGCGTCCACAGCTGTGTTCCTTACCTCATGGAGGAGAAGTTTCTGTAATAGGAGAAAACGAGGTCAGTGTGCTGGGAGAACCAGAGAATAGTGGTGCTGAGAAAAATAAGGGAGTCTGTGCCTTTGAAACCTGTCCTAGTCCCAAGGCCTTGGTTCTTGGATCTTTTTCTATTTTGTTGAGTCACCCCAGAAACCTTGATGGCGCAGGGCCTCCACGGACAGCCCCCTTCCTCTCCCAGCCTTTGGGGCCACTGACTCGCTCCCAGTCTTACGTGACTAATAATGCACACTGCACATCAGCTGCACATTCATGTCCTGTAAGTTGTATGCAGACCACAAATGATGTTTGGTTCCCCCTACAGGTTGCCAGATAAAATACGAAAGACCTAGCTAAATTCGATTTTCAGATAAACAATGAATTTTTTAGTATAAGCACATCCCCTGCAGAACACACATCTAATAAAAATGTTTTTGTTATTTGAAATTCAAATTGAACTGGGTGCTCTGTATTTTTCTGTGCTAAATCTGTCACCCTATAATCCTGCTGTTTGAAAATGGGAGCTAACATTTAAAAATTGAGAGACTTCTCATACAAGGTCAGATTTCTTTCTTTTTCTTTTTTTTTTTTTTTTTACAAGTTCAGATCTCTAACTTATCTTAAAAGAATTAGATCTTTTAAGAGACTGAGCCCCTACTTCCTCATGGCAGATAGATGTTGGCAAGAGTTGAGTGTGGTTGCATCCTCAGAAGGCAAACCCAATCTCTTGGCTGTCCCAGGCCCCACCCCAACGCCCACATCGGGGCTAACTGCCTGGCCCCATCCACTTCTGAGTCTGCAACCCCAGGAGGAGCACAGGGGTCATCATTTCCAGGATGGCTTTCCTGAGCCCCCAGGTGAGCTGACACATCCAGTCCCCTGTTTGCATAACACTCTGCATTTATTAAACGCCTATGATACTGACGGGAGAGGCCCTCGCAGTGTTCCATGACGTAGTCACCACTGACTTCACCATCTTCTCCTGCAACTCCTTGCCTGCTGCTGGACACCCAGCACTTCCCAGAGTTCTCATGTCCAGGTCCTTGCCCTGGCTGTATTTCCTCTGTCTGAAGCACTCCCTTCTGCCTCCTCACCTGCCCCCTTTAATTCCTGTGCTGGGACCCAGCTCAAGCCATCAGTCACTCCAGGCGGCTCCTCTAGGCCTTGTGGCACACATACAGCATGGTGGTAGGAACAGAAGCCCGCTAGTGGGATGATCCTGGATAAGCTACTCATCCTTTTTGTGCCTCGTTATCCTCATCTCTAAACGACGCCTGTGACAAAGCAACTACCTCACACAGTTGTTGTAAAGATCTAACCAGTTCATTTAAACTGAATGCTTATTAGAATAGTGGCTGCGCCATATTCAGTTATTAAAATACCTATTTTTTATTGAATAATTCCACAATTACTGATCAAACCTAGTATATGCCAAGCACGCAGCTCAGCACACAGAACACACAAGAAACTGTCAGAGATACTGATGTCAGGGAGTCACAGCTCTAGACTTAAGGGGTAGATTCCAACAGGTTAACAGGAAATTTTAAGCTGCGTGTAAGTGCTATGAGAAATTAAAGGTTTTATGGAAAACCGGAGGTGGGATGGGAATGAAAGGGTAAACTTTAGGGGGCAGGGGAAAGCTTTCCAAAAGGAATGCTATTTAAGATGAGATCTGACAGAGGAGTTGGTGTGGTGGAGGGAGGGCCTCCAGGAACAAGGCAACAGTCTGCAGCAAGGTCCAATACTGCCCTCACCAAGGGCACTGAAACCAGCTCTTCGGCATCTTCACCCAATACATGGCCACTTGGAAAGCCTGTGTCTATCTCTGTACCCAACTCTATTATGGTGCTCAGCAAACAAACTGCTGACATTTCATAAAAGATTTCTGAGCCAAAGAGGATCCATAACACACTAGGTTACTTTCAATCTTTAAGCCTCCCTTATATTTGAGGTTTGTAGAAAAGAATCTTTGTCTTCGAGGATCTTGCATTCTGAGATGTGACGCGCACACATGCACAAAATGTGTTTTAACATGAGTGGTTTAATAATACTTCCTTCAGATGAAGGTGGCCACAGAGGAGAGGCAAGAAAACTCACATTTTCCAGGAGGGAATTTGAAAGGCACATGAGGAAGGAAAATATGAATCAAAGATCTAGAAGAAGTAGTAGCCAAAGGATCAAGAAGAAAAGCCTTCTCAACTTTCAGTATGACCAAGGAAACACCTGTATAGAAGGAAGGCAGAAAAGTGTAACAGCAGGAACGACACACCTTTTTTATTTTTTAGCATCTGTACATAAATATAGCACAAGAGCAATTCAGACACTGGGTTTTGACCTCTGACATGTACCTGAACTTCCGGTTGGGGCACTGACCTCACCGTGATGAGCAGCAGCACAGGCTAATGTCTATACCAGAGGCCCAGAGCTCTAACCATAAATGGTGAGGTTTAAAAATGGTTTGGACGGTAACCATAAAAGCACTTGTATGGGTCAGACACTGCTCAAAGCATTATACATCGACTACTCCTCACTTAATTCTTGCAACCTTTTGAGGTAAATCCAATTATTTGTGTCATTTTATAAATGGGGAAACTGAGGATTGGAAAAAAGTTAAGGAACTTGCCCAAGGTCACAGAGCTAGTAACGGACACGCTGGTGCCCTGAGCTGGGCAGTCTGGGCGTGGAGCCCTGCTCTGACCACTGTGCTCCTACTCAGCTCTTTTAAAAGGCTTAGGTGCTTAGATCACTGACTAAAAAATTTCTGTGAATTTTTTACATCAGTTTCCGTATGAAACCAAAGGAATGGGGGAGGAAGGACAATTCACCTGAGGGTGTGGAATCAGACATACTCCACTCCCCCTTCTTTCCAAAGTTCTGGGAAGACCCCAACTTAGTAGGCTGTTATTAGGATTAGAATTTATTCAAAGGGGGCACGGTGCACGTAGGAAGTGCGCAGTAAATGTTCGTCTCTTGGTAGAAGACAAAATCAGGGCTAAGATTCTCGTGGCTTTTCGGCCAGCGTTCCTTCCAATACACCACACAATCTCTCCCTGACTGCAGTGTTTAAAAAGTGACAGGTGGTCGCATGGACACGCAAAAGGAAAAATGCACACCGGGAAAATACAAGCCCAGGTGGCTGTATCGGAGCGCTGCTGGAACCCAGAATGACTTGCAGGGAAGTTCCAAGGCCAGGGATATGCAAAAGACACCCCCAGTTCCCCTGGCCCCGCCCCTGGAACCGTTTCCCCAGCCCGATTCTGCACAATTTGCCCCTTCTCTTCCCCACCGCTCTCTCAAAGTTAGCTAATAGCTGGGCGCAATGAGCCGGTGCGGAGCGCACGGGCAGGGCCCGGGGGCTGCACACTTCCGCCCGGCCTCGCGGTGGGAGGCCGAGTTCTGCGCAGAGGCGTGGCGGCTGCAGGCCCCCGGCAGAGCTCGCCGCCTGAGTCCGGAGGGAAGTCCAGCCCCGGCCCCCATCGAGGTGCACGCCGTGCGCCCCGGGCAGCCCGCGCCACTCACCACGGCGCTCTCGGGCAGGTTGTAGCGACACAGAGTGTGGTCCAGGTCGAAGCCAACCACGTCGCAGGCGGCCAGGGAGAAGTGCTGAGCCATGGCTGCGCTGGAACCACTAGCGAGCTTCTCGAGCGCCGGGAGGGTGCGAGGAGCCCGCGGACCGGACGCTGCGGGACGCTGCGGGACAGGACCAGACGGGACCGGGGCGGGGCGGGGCGGGGCGGGGCGAGGCTGCGCCGCCCCGCCCCCCCTCGGGACGCAGCGCGTCGGCCTCCAGTGCTTCCCGCGCCCGCGAGCACCGCCCCCGGCCACGCTTCTCCCCGCCCCTCGCGCGGCCCGCCTCCCCGCATGAACCCCGCGACTTCGGCGCCCTAGGGCAAGCCGACCGCCGCCGCCGAACGGCTCCCGGCGCCCCTCCGCCATCCCACCCCGCCCCGCGGTCCCGAAGGCGGGGGTGACCGGGAGCCGCGCCACCACTGCTGGACCTGGGGGTGCGGTTGAGTCCCCGTTGGCACATAACCTTTGCCACAAAATTAGCCGGGGCTCCCCTTCGTTTTCAAGGTGTCACAGAAACCAGGACACTGTAAAGTTAGACCCGACCCTTCGGTCTTGTGCGGAGTAAGGTAAGATTATGGCGAAAATTCTATTCACTAATATCCTTTGACACAGCCTAGAATTTGGAAGATCTCTTGGCCCACGTGCTAAGGGTTGAATATTTCGTAGCTTCCTAAGTAGTTAAAAAACCTTTCACTATTTCCCTTTCTGGAGTGCATTAGAAAATAAGTTTATTAGAAGGAGTTGAAGGACCATTTTTGCAAAATAACGCTGATTAAAAAAATCAACGTTGGCTATTTTGTTACTTGATTATCCTATTTTTTATTGGAATGAATTTTTCTATGAAGAACAGCAGAAAGTTGATAGAGCATGCTACAGAATAGAAAACTTTCTGCAAACAGATGGTTTTAAGATTTATAGAGCACACAATCAGGTGACAATAATCTGAATTCTCTCAATTCTCTCTCATTATTTTAGATGTTTAGGAGAAAAGTTACATACAATGGATGCTTAAGGTATTTAATTTTGAGAACCCATATGAAAAGCTAGGACTTTGAGATCTTTAAAATTATTTAAAAGAGAAAATACAATAGCATTTAAAAAAAGAAAATGTAATTCTATTATCTTTGTACTCCTTGTGTTAAATTTAAAGGAACATTGTCCAATGGAAAAAAAAATCAATAGTTATGACATAATGAAAATATAATTCATTGAGAATTACATTTAACCCTTACAAATACTAACCCTCATGAGGCCAATAGACCAATCAAGGGATTAATTTAGTGCAATAAATAGTTCAATTAGGTAGGACATTTATTGTACCTAGTGGGCCCATTTGAATAAATTGAATACTTGTTCCATTATAACTCTTAAAAGCCCCAAACAATGAATCAGGGAACACTACATCAAAAACTAATGATGTAATGTATGGTGATTAACATAACATAATAAAATTAAATTAAAAAAAAAAAAAAGAAAAGAAAAAAGGCCCAAACAAATCTCTCGGGAATAGGAGGAGGAAAAGATTGAGCTATTCACTGACTGATAATCCAACAACCATGTTTTTAATGTCTGTGAATCAAAAAAGAAGAACCTGGATTGATTCACAGTTTGTAGCTATTTCCCTTTTATGACTCTCTTGTCCATGGGACATTGACTTTAACGTTCCTCTTTGCCCCCTGCAGTAGGCCTGCCAAGATCAAACTGCCAGGTAGACTACACATTGAAGGCCACAAGTTTCTTTGAAGGGTATCTTGTACCCACTTTAGGGACTTAGTAATGTAAATGTACAAGTGCATTCACTGCCAGAGGGAAGAGTACAAAAGGATTGTTTTTCCTGATTTAAGTATCCCTGGGACTGGAGTTGGCTCTTAGACTTGGACAGGCTCATCAACAGACATTTCTGCTTGCTGAGTGACAGCTGTACATTTCTTACATTCCTCAAGTCCAAAGAGCTCTCTCTGCTAGAGTCTAGACGTTTACATTTTGTGGGAGAATTTAGCAAACAATGCACTCCAGGCATCCTGAGAGCTCTTACCCCTCCCTGAGCTATATTCACCTTTCCTGGCCTATACCTCACACCTCATTCTAACTCCTTTAAGAACATGTGGGATGGTTCCCTCTCCCACCCCTACTCCTTACCTAACCATGAACTTAAATACATTTACTTTGCTTCATAGGGCTTATTTTCAAATAAAAATATTTCCTTTTTTTCCTGTACATTAAACTTTTATCACATGTACTGATAAAATACCACAGCTGTTCTATTACCAACCAAGAAAGAGTTCAATGTACTTAGACCAATTAATTTGTTTCTTTGAGTGATAATATTAAATATGTCACTGTTGTGGCCTGAATTGTCGTCCCCTGCCCAATACTCCCCAAATTCATATGTTGAAGCCCTAAGCCCCACTGTTGACTATTTTTGGAGATAGGGACTTTGAGTATGGTTAAATGAGGTCACAAGAGTAGGGCCCTAATTTAATATGATGGTGTCATAAAAAGAAGTAGTGGTACCAGATTGAAGCATTCATAGAAGAAAGGCCATGTGAGAACACAAGAAGATTCAGTCTGCAAGCAAAAAAGGAGGGTTTCACCAGAAACCTACCCAACTGGCACCTTGATCTTGGACTTCCAGCTTCTAGAGCTGTGAGAAAATAATTTTCTGTTGTTTAAGCCACTAAGTCTGTGGTATTCTGTTAAGGCAGTCTCAGCAAACCAAGACATTCAGTAAGGAGATTTGACTCGAACCAATGTTGTTGGGTCAAATTTAGTAAATAGTATTTGCATTTGAAAGATCCCTAAATGACATGAACTTCTGCTTAAGTTTTTTTGCTTATTTGTTGAAACTTTGGTATTTTTATTTGAGTATAATGTTAATACTATGCTGTGAAATTTTAGGATTTTTTTAGTATTCCGTGTACTGAGTTTTCCTTTTAACTCGAAAGTTATGAAATAATTTAGAAATGCTCAGAAATAAGTTATATTTTTGCTGATTTTCTAGAATTGAATTTCGTCATTACTACTGACCTATATTTTAATACAGTTAATACTATAACTTAGCAACTTTAACCTCAGGTATGCCTTTTACTTGTTATTTACCTAAATAATTTGTGATCAGCTAGCTTGTTTTAGACTCTATAACTCACTAAGTGATCTTTTGTGAATTTAAAATACTGCAGTTTGATATCTACATTGTAAATGTTATTTACCAAACTGTTATTTGGGGGCGGGGAGAGGTCTGTTTGTTTGTTCTTTTGTTAGTTTAAAACATATTTTTCTGGGGTGCCTGGGTGGCTCAGTTGGTTAAACATACAACTCTTGATTTCCACTCAGGTCATGATCTCAGGGTTGTGAGATTGAGGCCCACATTGGGCTTGGCACTGGGCGTGGAGCCTGCTTAAGATTCTTTTTCTTCCTGCTCCCCCCCCCAAAAACATAAAAAGAAGTGTTTTTCTAAATACCCCAAGGTAAACATTGTAATGTTAACTTTTTATACAATCTAATCTCCACATCTTCCCTGGATCATATAATTTGCTTAAAGGGAAACGATAAAGTTTTTTTAGTAATTTGAAAAAAAAAATATATAAATGCCTAAAAATTAATCTCTGTAGCGCTTAGTCATTTAGCTAAATAGAACCAAAAGCTGATTTGTAATACTGGGCAGTGGCCTTAAGATGGCAGTAGTTCTGCATTAGGAATATTTTTCGTTTCATTTCTTTAGTAATTTTAAAAAAAATAAGTTTCTTAATAAAAAAAAGTGATTTTCGGGGTGCCTGGGTGGCTCAGTCGTTAAGCGTCTGCCATCGGCTCAGGTCATGATCCCAGGGTCCTGGGATCGAGCCCCACATTGGGCTCCCTGCTCAGCGGGGACCCTGCTTCTCCCTCTCCCACTCCCCCTGCTTGTGTTCCCTGTCGCACTGTGTCTCTCTCTGTCAAATAAATAAATAAAATCTTAAAAAAAGAAAAAAAGAAAACACCAACCATTTAAAAAAAAAAGTGATTTTCTACTCTCCCTTTCTGCTCTTGCCACAAGAAGAGACGCCTACTTAGAAATTTTACTGTGGTTTTTGTGTGTGTGTATGTTTATTTTATTTTTGTGTGTGGGTGGATTTATTTTTGACAGAAGGAGAGAATGTGGTGAGATGAAGTCCTTTGGTAGGAAACTTCTCATTAAGGTTGTATCTCAATAAATAACTAAACGTTTAAAATATACAAGGAGTCCTTCTTGCAGAGAGAGCTAAAATTCTAAATGGCAGAATTGTGATTCAGCAGGATCTCTAAGGAGGTAGCAATGGATTGGAATTTAATTAATTAGGACACATGTTGAGATTTGGGGTCAGGTGCAAACAGGTAAATCAAGGGGAATCTTGATTTACCAGCAGTTAAGTTGGAAATACAATGTGGACAAACTCAAGGTGAACTCAACTAGTTCCAGGTTAAAGTGAGTTTCTCTTTATTTGACTGTCAGTCTTCCCTTTTTCTTCGCTGTCTTTCTGGGAGGCATGGGGGTTCCAAATTGCAGCAGGGCTAACATATTGCCAGGGAGTCTGGGAACAGACTTCTGGTCCTTGGCTAATGGCATCCATACATCTGCTTCCCCATTCCTGTCAGTATTTGGTTACCTCTGGCCACGGTATCCTCACTGTTAGCAACCATGACTGCTGCAACCATGACCCTGCAACACCTCTAGTTACAGTGTCATCAGAAAAATTTTTAGTTTTGATCCAAGCATGAGACCATGTTAGGCTGCCATTCCACACTCAGCCAACCTCTGCTCCTCTCTTGGGAGTCCCAGGAAAGCTTCACAGAAAACTTTTGGCTTTGAAGTCACAGAAAAGGAGGGTCTGTGTTTCAGCATGGAAAGGTGGGGTGGCTGCCTCAGACCCCTCTATCCAGATGTGACCCACTGTTTCTATTCTAGTGATTGTTCTCTATTATCACAGGACACTCTGCAAAGCTGTCTTCTCTCAGAATTCCAAATGAGAATCAAGACCCAATTCTCTCTGCTTTGGGATCCCCAAGCTCATGTGGAGGTTTCTGTA